CATCTGTGGATGCATGACAAGGTGTGGTTGGCCTTCCTGACACATCCCCACACTGTCAGCCCATGTTCTTTTTGGCATCAATAATGGCTCCAAGATCCTTTTCTGCCTCTGCACTGACAAGAAGGGAGTTCCCCAGCCTGTAGGTATGCTACTGGTTCTTCCTCTCCAGGTGCAGCACCTTGCACTTGTCTGTGTTGAAACCCATCCTGTTCTCATCCGCCCACCCCTGTAACCTGTCTAGGTCCACTTGCAGCCTATTCCTCCCTTCTAGCATGCCCACATCCCCCCACATCTTAGTGTTACCAGCAAATTTGAATAGGGTGCTTTTTACCCCCTCGTTCAAGTCCCTGATGAAGATGTTAAACAGCACGGGTCCGAGGACCGAGCCCTGGGGGACCCCACTGCCCACATCCCTCCAGGTTGAAAGTGACCCATCCACCACCACTGTCTGGGTGTGGCCCTCCAGCCAGTTAGCGACCCATTTGACTGTGTAGGTGTCAACGCCACAGTCCCCTAGTTTTTTAATGAGAATGGGGTGAGAGTCAGTGTCGAAGGCCTTCCTGAAGTCCAGAAAGACTATGTCCACTGCTACCCCTGCATCTAAGGATTTTGTGACCTGGTCACAGAAGGCCACCAGGTTGGTCTGACAGGACCTGCCTCTAATGAACCCATGTTGGTTGCCCCTAAGCATAACCTCCCCTGCTGGCCCCTTGCGGACATGCGCCAGGATAATTCTCTCAAAAAGCTTACCTGGAATCAAGGTAAGACTAACTTGCCTATAGTTTCCTGGGTCCTCCTTCCTCCCTTTTTTTTCCATTTTAGTTATGTAACTTTTTTTTTATTTTTAACTAGGGAAAACCTTTAATCTAATCCACCTATTGTATTCTTTCCAGAAAGATTTTATTTGAATACTTGTTTAAAGAATCTTTAACAGAATAGTTGAAAGAACCCCCCCTTCCCCAATACAAAACAACTACAAGAACAATGACAAAATACTAGAGAAACTTGCTGCTCTGCAAGTTTAATATCAAATTAATAACTAGTGTTTAATCTGCTTGAGCTGCAGAAACTTGGACCTAGATAGCTTAAGATGCTGGTTCAGTGGTAGACTAAGAAATTTAAAGGAGAACAGAAGTGGGACATGATATCTTCATGAACAAGACTTCATAAAGTGCTGCCTATTGCATTCATTATGTTGACTCCAATTTAATTTCTCTTACCCTCCATTACGAAAGAGCTATAGTACCATGAGATGTACAAACACATGTTGTTTAAGTATCTCATAGATATCATGGCATATTTCCAGAGAAGAGGGAAGTGTGCAAGCTCAGCTAGTCTCAGTGTGTGTATCTAATGGCTTGTACATGAATTATTTTTTAATATAGTAGAATCCTGGTGGACTGCTTGAATTTATTTATTAGATTTACATTCTGCCCTATCCAAAAAGTTCAGTGTGGTTTAGAATAAGCAAACAACTTACAGACAGGTCCCCAAACAGCAACCCAAAACTTGAGAATTAGTAATGCAATAACTTCATTTTACTTCAATTAAAATGTTATTGCATCTGCATTTTTGATGGAGCACTGGTGACATCCAGTGGCTGTCCTGCACATACAAACGTGTTTGTGTCCACATGCATATTCCCTGTGGATAATTATTTTATAGAGAAATCTCTTTGTCTTCTAGTTCATCCTTCTGGCACTGAAGCTGGGGTTCTGTCATATTTTGCATAGGTATATTTTAGTGCAATGTAACGGGAACCTCCAGATAAAGTAAAAAAACTTTTATCACACAGTAAAACTGAGTTTTGGTAGTATTAAAGTTAGTTGTATAGATGAGGGAAGGAGAATCTCATGCAGTTGTATGTGGTTTGTTTCTTTGTTGGGTGGGGCTTTTTCTGAAAACACCCAGCATTCGCTGCCAAGGAGAGTTGTGACTGCCTAGCACCTCCGTACCGGTGCAAATGAAATCTCAGCACTGAAAATTGGCTTAATAAGGTAGAACTTTAATGTGCAATTTATCAAAAAGGTGAAACTTAACTGAAGTTTGATTTAACTTTTACTAATGGTTTGTCCTACCAGATTGCTAAAGATGCAAAGGAGTGTGTACAGGAATGTGTAAGTGAATTCATCAGCTTTATAACATCTGAAGCAAGTGAGAGGTGTCATCAAGAGAAACGAAAGACGATCAATGGAGAGGATATTCTCTTTGCCATGTCTACGTTGGGATTTGACAGTTATGTTGAACCTTTAAAGCTGTATCTCCAAAAGTTCAGAGAGGTTAGTTACCTATCTTCTTCCATAGGATTAAAACTTAGTATATCTAGCGTTGACATTTTTTTTTTTTTTTTATAGTAACAATAACAATAATGGTTAGCTTTTGCTGTACCCCAGATATATATACCAGAAAACAACAACATGATGTAGGGGAAGAAATATTTCTTACAAAATCTAACTAAGAGTATTGGTGAACTTGCTTTTCTTTACCAACTAAAATGTCCAGGTGACTTAAGCTAGAAAAGTTCTTCAAGTGGATAGCAACAATTGGTCTTTGTGGTTCTGTTATTTGTACGCAGCCTGATTCTCTGCTTAGTCAGTGGAACCATACTAACTTACACCAGCTGTGGACCTGGCCAACTGTCTTTCTGCAGAGGCAAAAGGTGTCTCTTAAGCATGTTTCTTATGTAACACGACAACTTGCCCACCACATGGTTTTAATCAGTTTTTAGCTTGCATCTGTATCTTGATCATCAAGTACTTTCCAAACAACAATAATTGCATCGAGACCTGTATTTCCTGCTTTAGAAGGTAACTCGAGACAGATTGAGTCCCTCCTGAGGAAAAAATAGCTACTCCAAGTTTCTTGTATGTGCAGCATTTTCCTCCTCGTTCTAGCAGAAAATGCCTAAGGTTCGTGCAAAGAACAACTAGCCTTTCTGCCTTGTTCTGCTGTGGGGCTGGGAAACAACATGCATTGTTTCCCTGACCCAGTCACCCCTCTAAAGTGATTTCTGTGCCAGAGGTTGCAGCACTTGCTTTATGATTGTGGCCCAGGAATACTTTCTGTCCAAGCAGTTCATTGGCATTTTCTTCCAATAAGCTGCTTGCTCCTCTCCTCAGACTTGTCTCTATATAAAGCACCTTATATTCTATACCAGGGGTGGGCAATTATTTCAGGCGGCGGGCCACTTACTGAGTTCTGGCAAGCCATCGAAGGCCACGTGACAGGCAGCCAGGGGCAGATGAATATTCATTTTCTAAACTTTTTAGGGGCCCTGTGGGCCACATAGAATGGCCTGGCAGGCTGCATTTTGCCCGCCCCTGCTCTAATCCCATTCCTCTGCCTAATTTGCTGCTTTAGCTTCTGTTTTCTTGCCCTATCTGCCACTGTGCTGCCTATCTCATCTATAGTCTGCTTTATGCCACACACAGAGGCTTCCTGTGCCACAGGTTTCCCCCCACTCCTCTATGCTGTCCTTCCCCATTTTGTTGTGGTATTATTCAAGCTGTTTTAAACAATGCTTGGCTTGCAACTTGGGACACCAAGCTGCACTGAGCCTGTTGCAGTATGTCTATGAAAAATTTGTACGTGATGCATGCTGCTCCTTCCCTACTTACCCTTTAGAATTACAGATTGCCAATAAGATGATGGAGTTGGTGTTTAAAATCTGGTTCTGGTTTTCTTTCAGTTATTTATATTTCTGGTCAGTTTTGCCTTCAGGCTATTATAAAGGGACTGCTTCAAGATAATTATTTTTTTCCTTTAAATATTTGCAATGGTCATTTTATCATAGCTTCAGTCAGGTCATCCACGAAAGTACTAAATGCATGGAGGATAAAACAGTACACAACTGACTGGATGTCTTAACTCAGCATGCTGATCTCAGGCTCTGGCTATATAAAATATCTGGGGAAGAAATTCAATATCTTGTTTTTAATGTCAGCTTCCATGTGTATGATGTTGGTAATACACACAGTTACTTCCCACTGCTATTAAAATAACCAGGCTTTAGAGTGACAGCATGCAAGGCGATAGACCAACCCAAGGCTAGATCTGGTCTTTTGCTAATTTGATATTACAAGAACTTTACCCCAGTGTATGTGGTATTGCACTTTGATTTGTCAAATCTTAGCAGTCAAGATTTTTTTTTAATATTGCATTCTCCAGTGTGCTGTGAATTCTGGGTGCCAAATATAGAGTCTAAGACATTCCTGCAGAGTTACCACAGAACTTGTACCGTTCCAGAATTTTATGGCTTTTTTACAAATCTGCAGTATTCATAGTTTTCACAAATCCCTCGTGTAAGAGTACAGCTATGATAAAAATCACTCTCTTGGTATCCAGATACTTGGTATACTAGCATTTGAGAATACTTCACCATCGCAAGTTTTACATGTCAAGAGTCAAATGTCTTGTTATTGTATAGAAGGCTTTTAGAAGTTGCAGACATTCCAGTTTTAGGGAACCAGGCTCTTCAGCAATCTCTGACAAGTGTATACTAATGCAGACATCCTTCACAATTCTTTCAAGGCAATGAAAGGAGAAAAAGGTATTGCAGGAACAGTTACAACTGCAGATGGTCTTGGTGAGGAGCTCACAGAGGAAGCATTTAGTAAGTAACATTTAAAGTGATCCTACCTCTAAGTTTATCTAAGATGTAATACAAGGCTCTGCATCTCAGTCAACTAGAAGGTGGGGATTTTAAGATTGTCTGGGATTTGGCATGTTTTTGAGATGGTTGGCATTTGAATACACCCATTGAACTCAAGTGGAGCTATAAGTATCAGTTCATTTCGTGACTGTTGATATTTTAATTTTAAAATAAAATCTGCTGACATCAGAGGTGAATTCTAATCATAACTAATATGAAACCTAGAGAATGTGTTAGCACAAGAAGGTGTTATAGCACTTACTTCAGATCTAGCAGAGTCTAAACATAACTTGAAACTAATGTTACAAATTATTTTCTCTTTGTAGTACCTGATCATTCAGACATATGTTCAAAAGTGCCTAGGCTGGAGCAAAAGTTGTTGAATAATAAAAAAAAAAAATAAAACTGACCGTAGTGCCTTAGTCAAACAAAAAACGAAATAGAGGCTTATCTCTGGCTCTGGTAGCTCAAAGGTGCTCATTTTTTTCATGTAATAAAACAGAATATTGGTAGAATCAGTTAGTTGTAGATGAGAGAGAATCTTGTGAAGTTGTTTTGTTTTTTGTTTTTCTTGCGGCGGGTTCCCCCCTTACACTTCACTAGTGTTTTATCTTCCCTCAGTGCTATGGTGTATGACCTGAACTTTGTAGGGGCCTTAAAATTTAATACTAGATATTACTAGCAATGAGGACATCTATTCATCTGCCAGTGACTGATGTTACCTTTAGAGAGAGAGGTGCTAAAACATTGCTCTTGCCATAACCGGTGATGTTACTAATTTAAAAATACCTGGAATACTTCACTGAAATGATCAGTTGATTTAATGCTGTAGAGAAGCTATAGACTTGAGGACTGGTGGTGACTTGGTGAACTATTAAGTAAATTTACAGCCTCATCTTTGGCCCTGCAAAATGTGGATCAAATATGTGGAGGTTCTTGTAGCACTGAAGTGTTTCCATCAGAACTGACGAATATAAGACTTCAAATAAGAACGACATGGTGGATTTTTACAAGTACTTTGTAAAATTGGGGAACATTCTCAACTTTAATAAGATATTAAAGTTCACAGTATAAAATCAGAAGTCAGGAAATGCAAAGGCTAATAAGCCTTCAGCAGTAACAAACTCAACTGAGTTGAGTTTCAGAATCTTTGTCTAGTGTTAGTTTAATTAAACAGGGATAAAATACACATGCACACTGTGACTAAGTAGACATTGCAGAGTCCTAATGTTTGTATGTTCCAAGTTATTTTGATCTTACTTTTTCTGATTTTAATTTTCTTTTAATTTTCCAAGCACTTGCTGTTTTAAGAAAAGAGGGGGGAGGAGAATCAATCATGTGGGTGCGTCATACAGACAGACACAGAGATGGTACTAACAGGAAATCTGCAAGCTTCCTAGAAGCCCAGTACAGGCTAATTGTGCACGTTTATTATAAGTAATGATAGTTTTCACAAGACACTCCAGTTATGCATCCCCCGTTTAATTTTTGAGTCTAATGTCTGGAAATCACTGGAGCACTCTCTCTTTCCTTTGCCAAACTTCCCAGGCCCTGGAGTCTGTAGTACATCAAGAACTTTTGCTCTGAATATGCGATTTTTTTTTTAATGGCTTATGTTTAAAAAAAGAAAGAACCAATTTGGATTAAAAACTTCCAGACTTACCTGGATGCAGGAAATTGTGGCTAGAATTTGGCAGTGCCAGGATATGTGGCTGGAAGGTAATTCTCCTTAATTTACTTAGCTGGCAGTGGAGCTATGCACAGAACATCTCTCCTGAGGGTACATCTAGACTTAATGTCTCTGCTGCATGCAACTTTTTTAGTCTGGGCAAAACTTAGTTCAGTGAAAGACTGCTTTTCTTTTTAAACCTAGCAAATGCCCAGTTTCTTTTCTCAAAATTTAAGCTCTTTGGCTTCAACACTTTTTATAAAAGAAACAACTTTTTTTCCCTCTTGACTCCTGTAATGGGTTTTGGTTAGTCAAAATTGGTGGTGTGCTCTTTTTTTTTAAATTCACTTCAGTAGCTTCTTCTCAACCACTGTTTTTAAGTCCAAAGTCCTTTTGGCATGCCCTTCAGGACCTTGCATAATTTCATCCAGGCCTACATTACCACTTTCACCACCTTTCCTCCTGCTCTGTATTCTGCACTAAAAACCCATCTCCTTTTCACATTCCAGTGTCTCTGTCCCAAATTCCATTTCAATTCTGAAAGTAAAACTGTGGAGGGGGGACATTGTTTCATGCAGCAGTATAGACTTTGCAGTCTGGTTTGCAGTGCTAATGGGAGGAAACTTGTTTTTCTTAGTAGTAGTAAGCAGATGCAACTTGATAACACATCATGAAGTTGATATGAAGGGAGAGACGGTTCCATAGTCCCTTTCAGCCATAAGCTATAAGAAAATGTTCCATTGTTTTGTTTAATGGTCTTATAGTCTTTAAATGAGGTTCTGTGTGTCCTGCAGTTCTTGCCTAACTTCTTAACTAAAATGCTTTTTCTTTTAGCTAACCAGTTGCCAGCAGGTTTAATAACTACAGATGGCCAGCAACAAAATGTTATGGTTTATACAACATCTTATCAACAGGTACTGTATCCTCTCATTCACTCTTTCATTTTCTTGCTAAAATTCAAAGCCCTATTTCAGCAGCCCTATTCTGAAAGAGCTGAGAATGATTTTGTATGTAGCCTTTTTGGTAGCTCACATGACTTTGCTACAACAGTGAAAGCTTGCTAAATGTGAAAAAGCTTCAGCAGAGAGTGACTTGAAAATAAACTTACTTTCCTTTCTCTCTAGATCTCTGGAGTTCAACAAATTCAGTTCTCATGATGTGAAGGCAACTTTGGATCTGAGATCATGAGACAGAAAAGCTGTACAATTCTAAAGAGACATGAGTTTAAAATGACTGGTGAACAGAGATTTATCTCTTTGTATATTAATTAGCTGTAATGTAGCTACCTGAGGCTTGACTAATTGAGGTGTGAATTCTGACTCAAATCTTTTTTCATGAATGATTTTAAAAATTGGATTTTAAAGGTATTAAAGTATTTTTGTTTTGTACAAGAGTTTGTTGCTCTGTATAACTCCTGTATGCATTGTATATTGCAATTTATTACTGTCAGAGATTTGTAGACAGTTTCTTATTTTCATATTGAATCATGTTACTTTTGTAATTCAAGTAAACAGCTGGGTTAATTCATGCTTACCCTTTGAATAAAATACAAGGGTAAAGTTAATTCTGAATGCAAGTTGCCTTTATTATAAAAGTTGAGTTGGTCTTGGTTACGTAACTTGTCTTGCATGACAACTTAACTGACTTTGATGTTAGCATATTTATTGAAGTTTTAAAAGACTCATGAAATTCTAACAACTTAAAATTGCTACAATTTGTTTTTTAATGTAAGCTTAGAATTAAAAGTTAATACAGAAACAAATAATTGTTAGATCTGTTAACTGTAGAGATCAGTGCCCATAAACAGTGTTTATTTTAATTAAACACTGTTTGTGTATGCCTGATAAGTCTTTATTTTGAAATTACTACAAGCATTCATTAATCTACTTTTATTATATTAAGACCTTTTTCAGACATGTGAAGAAGTTATATTAAAAGTAGTCATAGTGCTACTGATTTCTTCTTTTTATGTACAGTTTTTAGAAGCCAAATCCTAGAATTTAACTGCTTCCTCAACTGTAGTAGGGGGATTTTATAGTCCTGTGCTAAATGACCTCATTTTAAATGACTCTTTTTAACTGAACTGTTTTAAGGTTTCCTGAAAGACTGTGAGAACCCTCAGAAATGTTAAACATTTCGTGTATGGGTGGATGGGCGTTTGTGTGCATGGGAGAGTGAATGAAGTTTGAATAGGTGATATTTCTGAATGAAAGACTCAGAGTTTCAGTTTGCTCTCTTCCTGGGTTTTTTTGTTCGTTTGTTTTTGTTGGTCTTTTTGTTGTTGTTTTTTGGGGGTTTTTTGCAATAAACTACGTAGATAATGTAATTCTGTATATTTAGTGAGCCATTCTTAGTACTGCTGCTGTGTTTTAAATAATCGGGTTGGTAATCTTTGGATTGGATTCTCTGGCGTCTTTAGTGTTGGGGTGACACTTTAGTTGAATCAGTATTACTCAGGCTGGAGTTTGGGAACATTGATATTTGTGCTGTTGTTTTGAATGGACTTCCTGCCATGTACACCTAGTGACTCTTGTCTAAACATATGGTAGTTTTAATAAGCTAAATATTCGCAGCCTTTAGCTTAACATGAAACAGCAACAAACCCCTCTGTCCACCCTTGAAATCCCAGTTTGTGTATGGAAATAGTCAGACATTTTACTTATACATTTCTTTGGACACTAAAATAATGTCAGTTTAAACGCAGGTTAACAACATGCTAAGGGATGCCTCTGGCCAAGACCCAGTGTACTATGTGGTAAGCTGGAGCTTTATTTTAAAGCAACAACTACAGGTTGGCTCTCGCCAAAAACAGCTCCGCATTTTTAAATGGAATTAAAAAAACAAACAAACAAAAAACTGAACTACACACCCATTAGAGAAGCCCTGTTTTTTGCGGTTTTTATTTTTAATTTATTATTTTAGATGGTTGCACATATTGACTGGGATATATGTAGCTGTGCTTATTGGAAGAACTATAGTACAGTAGTTAAGTAAAAACTGAATTAAGTTTGGGCACTAGGAACTTGGAAGGGGGCTTGGGAATTATGGCATCAACTGGTTGAGAGGACTATGATCAGCTAAAATGGACAGTGTTTACTTTAGATTTGAGTTACCAGTCTCGTTGTCATTAACAGGGCAGGTCATACACCTCATTCAAAACTCGGGAAGAAAATGGTGCATCACTGCACACAGACTCCAGGACCATTTCTCAAAAGTAAGGGTTTTCTTAATGAAAGCGTAGGTTTTCCATCACAATTCTGGTAATAGCAAAATATATAGGATCTTACCTTGGGGAAATAAAATAACTAAGGACAAAAATCTACCCAAGTGGTACTAACATGTTTGTTCACTCTTTTCTAACCTCTCTTCATTTAAAACAATATAAAAACTGTCATCAAACCAGTCATCTGTGATGCTGTATACCACCTGCTTCTAAGAAGCTATTATTTCAGTTCTTTGCACTGTCTTCTGAACTAATATAACACTGCATCTCCAGAGACACTCAGCTAGCTACTAATGTTAATAGTTGCAACAAATTTTAATTCAAAATAGCATCTGTGTGTTGGAGTTCTCCTCATGAAGCCTGGATAACCATTTGATGTATGGTAACTGAAAGCCTAAAATGTTAAATGACTGAACTAATAGAATTGTTCATTACAGTCTCTGCTTTACGTGGTCTTTTCAATCTTCTTGCATACAGAAGGGCTAAATAAAAGACCAGAACTGTTCAATAATGATGCTTAAAATGTTGCTGCACCTATAAATGGCCTTCAACTCCCATTTTCATTACAAGTTATAACAAAGCATGTCTGAGAGAGCAAAGATCAGTTGGCACATCACAAATTGATTGCTTATCTAGGTGTCAGATGTTGAGTGCGCATATCTGAACATTTTACTTCGCATTTATACCCATACCTCTGATTCCACTTATTTGGTCTAGTAGGAAGACAGAAAGGAGCTGTAGCATGAATGAGCATGTTGTAAGATCCTACTGACCCATTACATGTAAGCTGCTTGTACACCGCTTTGGACACTTGAATGCTATGTGTAACTCCATTGCCCAACAAGAACAAAAGTTTGTTGATAAGGTTCAGACCATAGCTATGTAAAGACATTCAGTTTTCTCCTGGGAAAGTTGCTGCTCTCCTAGCAGAAATCAGTGTTGCACAAATGGAATAGTAGTTGGCCCTTGTCCTAAAAAATTACAGTAGGTGTAAGGTAGTGGAAGTCAATGCAAGTAGCATGAACATGTGATGTTAGGCAAACTTGTGGGTAGGAGAATAGGTTAACTTTTAACCATGCAAAAAGGCAAATGGCAACTTTATTAATGCCTTTTTCCTCCGAAGCCTACCACTTTTTTTCCCCCTAGCTCTACTAGGGAGGAGCAATGTAGGTGGTCTACATCAGAGTTCTCAACATAAAATGATGACTTACAATAGTGAGAGGTTTTGTGGGGAAGGGACTTGCAGCTGTCAAGAAAAGTTATAGTTGGCATGCAGCCTTATTCAAGGCTGCAAGATTGTAGAATCCTAGAAAATTAGGATTGGAAGAGACCTCTAGAGGGCATTTTGTCCAACCTCCTGCTCAAAGCAGGACCATCCCAGCTAAATCAATCCAGCCATGGCTTTGTTGAGCTGGGCCTTAAAAGCCTTCAAGGATGGAGATTCTATCCCCTCTAGGTAACCCATTCCAGCGTTTCACCACCCTCCTAGTGAGAGAGCTTTTCCTAATATCTAACCTAAACTTCCCTTGCTGCAACTTGAGACCACTGCTCCTTCTATCATCTACCACCACTAAAAACAGTCTAGCTCCATTCTCTTTCAACCCCCTTCCTGCATTTCAGGTAGTTGAAGGCTTGATCAACTGCCCCCTCAGTCTTCTCTTCTGCAGCCTAAATAAACCCAGCTCCCTTGGCCTTGCCTCAGAAGTCATGAGCCCACCCCCTAGCCATTTGTGTCGCCCTGTGCTGGACTCTCCAATTTGTCCACATCCTTTCTGTAGTGAGGGGCCCAAAAACTCAACACAGTAGTCCAGATGTGGCCTAACCAGTGCAGGATAGAGGGGAATAATTACTTCCCTCAATCGGCTAGCAACACTCCTACTAATGGAGCCAAGTATGCTGTTTGCCTTCTTGACATGAAGGGCACTCTGTCAACTCATATCCAGCTTATTGTCCACTGTAACCCTCAGGTCCTTTTTGTCAGAGCTGCTGCTTTGCCAGTTGGTCTCAAACCTGTGGCAGTGTGTGAACTTCTTCTGTCCTAAGTGCAGGACTTTGCACTTGTCCTTGGTGAACCTCATGAGATTTCTTGTGGCCCAATCCTCCAATTTATCTAGGTCACTGAATCCTAGCCCTACTCTGCAGCATATCTATTCCTCCCTGCAGCTTGATGGGATCTAGAAACTTGCTGAGAGTGCACTCCATCCCATCTTCCAGATCGTTAATGAAGATATTTAACAAAACTGGCCCCAGGATCAACCCGTGGGACACTCCACTTAATATCAGCTGCCAATTAGACATTGAGCCACTGATCACTACCCAATGAGCCTGACAATCCAGCCAGCTTTCTTTCTACCTTACAGTCTATTCATCCAACCCATGTTTCCTTAGCTTGCTTGCAAGAATACTGTGGAAGACGGTATCAAAAACAATGCTAAAATCAGGGTATATCCCCATATCCACAGAGCCAGTCATCTCATTGTAGAAGGCAACTGGGTTGGTCAGGCATGACTTGCCCTTGGTGAATCCATGTGGACTGTTCCTGATCACTTTCTTCTCCAACTGCTTAGAAATGGATTCCTTGAAAACGTGCTCCATGTCTTTTCCAAAGACTGAGGTAAGGCTGACTGGTCTGTATTTCCTTGGATCCTCCTCTTTCTTCAAGATGGGCACTATATTTGCCCTTTTCCAATCAGCCTGGACTTCCCCTGATCACCGCAAGTTTTCGAAGAATGGCCAGCTGCTCTGCAATCACATCAGCCAACTCCCTTAGCAGCCTCATGCACATCACATCCAGTCCTATGGACTTGTACATGTCCACCTTTTCTAAATACTCCCCATCACCGCAAGTTTTCGAAGAATGGCCAGCTGCTCTGCAATCACATCAGCCAACTCCCTTAGCAGCCTCATGCACATCACATCCAGTCCTATGGACTTGTACATGTCCACCTTTTCTAAATACTCCCCAACATGTTTCACTGTGGAGGGCTGGTCACTTTCTCCCCAAGCTGCTGCCCAGTGCAGTAGTCTGGGAGCTGATCTTGCCTGTGAAGACAAAGGTAAAAAAAGGCATAGAGTATTTCAGTCTTTTCTTCCTCATGTCACTAGGTTGCTTCCCCAATCAGTAAGGGACCCACACTTTCTCTGATCTTCTTGTTACTAACATACTGGTAGAAATGTTTCTTGTTACCCTTCACATCCCTAGCTAGCTCCAACTCAAGTTGTGCTTTGGCCTTGATTTCATCCCTGCATGCCTGAGCAATATTTATTCTCCCTGTCCAAGCTTTACTTCTCCTTATCCAAGCTTCATCTGTCTGTCCAAGCTTCCTTTTTGTGTTTAAGCT